AGTTTATAAAATGAAAAACAGGAACTAAAATCATTACAAGTTTGGACAAAGCAATTAGTCGAACCAAACAATGAAAGGCAAGAGAAAATTGAGAACAAAGGTAATAGCAAAACTAAAAAATTCTTTTATTACAGCAAATTTCCTAATAAAATATACAATTTATATTTTGTATAATAATAAAATATTTACTTTCTATAAAATGTTTTTACTTTCTATAAAATATTTACTTTCTTGTATTAGGAACTACAGAATTATCTTCAACGTATTGTTGGAGAATACAAACAAATGACGGTTGTGATAAATTACGTGCAAAAAAAAATTAGAGTTCAATTTTTAAATCTTTATGTTCAGCTAGATGATAATTGTATAGGTCAGTAGTATCAAAAGAGATCGTACTTAATTCTTCAGTTTCCTCATTCTCATTCTCGTTATTCTCATCATTCTCATTCTCATTCTTGTCATTCTTGTCATCATCACCAACTTTGACCTATTCTCTGATAATAGATTCTTCATTTGTTATTTCCTCATTTTCATCATTGCTATAATCGTCATTGCTATTGTAATTATTATCAATATCATAATTATCATAATTAGGTGTTTCACTATTATTACACATGATTTTGCTATGACCGGGACCATCTAATCTACTATTTAATTCAATGTTTAATTTATTGACTGGTCTTGATTCAATGTTCGATTTAGGGTAGTGACATTTATCACCTGATTTTTTTTTATCAAAGGCTTATCCCCCCCCTAGCTCTTAATATATAATTGATCAGGTGTTATTTATAAAATTTTAATTTTTTTGACCCCCCTCTCCTCTAAAAAATCACCTAATAAATATCTATACCCTTATCGGTGGAACTTGATTTAACATTCGAATTATTGGCTAAACTTGATTCAATGTTTGTTTTATTGGCTGGACTAGTAATACGGTTTATGGTGATGGCTTGGCAAACTTTTTCAGTATTATTTAAGCGTTCTTCTCATGCCATTTCAGCTGCAACTTGAGTTATTCTAAAGATTGTTTATAACTGTGACAAGATAAGTTTATTAAATATAAATTTATAAATTTTGAATACATTATTACTTACTTTGAGGTGATTGTGTCTTGGATTTTGAAACCATCCCATTCAGAAAAAAAGATGCTCGCATGGTGCCAAGTTAACTTTAATACTATACAATCTGTAAGTGACTTTACCAATCTTTTTTTGATCAATTGCTACAAATTCCCAATATCACAATAATACAAGCCTAATTGCATTGTTTGTTTCAACCTTTGTTGTTAAAATTGCTTCAAGGGTATTTTCAAATCTTTCATTATTAAACATACCACGTTTCATGTAATATTCAGTTAATTCTAGTGTAACACATCGTGATTTTACACCAAACTACATTTCATGATAATATTCGATCTATTTCATTATTCTCTCAAGAGAAAAAAAATTAGCATCAAACAAAGCCTGAATACAATATTGCGTGTGAAAAATAATCGCTAAAAAAAAAAGAGGTTGTTTCCAATCTGCCTATCTTCTTTCAAGTTTTTGTTGCATTTGATAACCGAATCCGTCTAAGTCATTTTTATATTTCTGTATTACATATCTAAAAGCATAGTTAATGTTAAAAAGATTGGCTGCATCACATTGAAGATAGTCCAGAATGCTAACAAAAGGCAGAAGGTGTTCTACTAATTTATCAAGATATATTCAAAATCGATTACTATTAATAGCAGTTTGAGATTTATCTAATAACTCAGAAGAGTTTGGATATAAAATTGAATAAGACTGTAAAGCACGTTTACTTCTTAGAAGCATTGCAAAGCAATAATAATATGAGTTCCAATGGGTAGTTACTGGAAGTACAAAGCTATAAATTGTCTTGTAAATCCTTTGTTGTTTATCACGAAGTAATGATATTGCTTTCAAATACCATTGATCAGTAAAATATAATGCAATTCCAATTGCTTGCTTTAGTGTTTGCTTATATACAGACGAAATTTTGAAAATATCACCAACGCACAGGTTTGCCTGATGCGCAAAGCACGGGAGAAATGTAATATCATGCTTTTGCAATTGCATTCTGTATTTGGTAAGTAAATGTATACATTGTAAAATTAAAAACAAATATTTTTTTTTCTAACAAGTCTTTTTTTTTCTTGTTCTCATTTTTATCTATACATACCATGCGGAGGCATATGCTGAAGCACTATCTATAACTA